ATGAAACACCTGCCAGGACCACAGCAACAGGCATTTAAGGATCTGAAAGGTCTGGAGGACTTCATAGCCAAGAAGGTGGAGCAGAACCAACGCACGCTAGATCCCAACTCCCCGCGGGACTTCATCGACTCCTTCCTCATCCGCATGCAAGAGGTACACCCCAACAGCCAGTGCAGAGAGCTGCAGAGCCAGGCAGAGGGAAGCCAGGCTGGCATGGGGAGAGCAGAGGCTCGTTCAAACCATTCCCCTCATAACATCCTCACAATCCCAAGTATAATAACTATGGCTGCTCCCTCTACTGAGCCCCTGCCCATGGGCAGGACCTGTGTGTGCCAACCATAATAGCAAGCAATTCCGTACCATGCACTCACTGACTCTATTCCTCTCCTTCTCAATATTCCCACCATAAAAAAGTGTTCTTGAAGAGTAAAGGACAGATAGGCAGGTGGGTAAGGAGTATGGGAAGGGCATTTTGGGCAGAGCCAGCAGCCTGAACAAAGAGCTAGTAGAACCAAGTCCCTCCTCCCACCTCTGGTCTGGATCTAAGAGAGAGGGGTCCAAAGAGAAAGACCCCAGAAGGGCCCTGAGAGCTCTGAGGGGAGTGGGCTTGGCCTGAAGCCCTCTCTCCCTATAGGAGCAGAACAACCCCAACACAGAGTTCTACTTGAAGAACCTGGTGCTGACCACACTGAACCTCTTCTTTGCGGGCACTGAGACAGTCAGCACGACCCTGCGGTATGGCTTCCTGCTGCTCATGAAGCACCCAGATGTGGAGGGTAAGGCTGCAGGGTGGGGGGGCAACAAAGTGGCAGCCACAGGCCCTCAAACTTCCTCTGAGCCCACTGCAACATCCCCACCTTCCCCAGATCCCTGAAGCCTCAGACATACCCTGTTATCCGGAGACTAGGTGATATTCTGCTGATGAGCACCAGCCAAGTTTCACTAGGTGTTTAAGTATTGAAAATATCTGAACGGATTGGTAAATAGCTTCCATGCTGGGTCAAATGTATATCCACTGCCTGCTCTCCAAACCATCCCCCAAACTCCTCCCTTATGCCTACTCATGATTCTGGCACGACCGGGTGACCAGGATGCTGCACCAACAATGCGTATGGCCAACGTCTGTTTTGAATGGTCTAAGTCCATGGCACACATGGATGTACATATTTGGACTATCATCACTGCCCCGAGACCCCAGATACCTAAATACCTTCCCCCTCCTCCCACAGCCAAAATCCACGAGGAGATTGACCAGGTGATTGGCAAGAACCGGCAGCCCAAGTTTGAGGACAGGGCCAAGATGCCCTTCACAGAGGCGGTGATCCATGAGATCCAAAGATTTGGAGACATAATCCCCCTGAGCCTGGCCCGCAGAGTCACCAAGGACACCAAGTTTCGGGAGTTCTTCCTCCCCAAGGTATCTTCCTGTCCCACCTTGGGGGACCTCCAACCTGCTCCCTGTGACCCAGCAATCCATTCCCTTAGAAGCTTCCCAGGCCCTGTCCCATTGCTTCAATCAAACACTGTTCCAACCACCATGTCCCTTCAATCCCCTCAGAGATTCCTGAAGCCCGTGTCTCCCCCAGAGCTCTTTCCACAAGGAATATGAACCCCATACCCCCAAACTTCCTCTCTCAAGAGACATGAACTTCATGTCTAGACCTCCTCCCTCAAGGACACGGATCTCATGTCCCCCAAACATCCTGCCTAGAGAAACACAAACCTGATGTCTCTCAATCCCAGTCCCAGAGAGCATGAACCCCCATGTCCTCTCAACCTCCTGCCTTGAGAGACATGAACTGTGGGTCCCCCACACCTTCTGTCCTAAGAGACACAGAACCTGTGCTCCCCAAACTTCCCTTCTCAGGAGACATGAACCCCCATGTCTGCCAAGCTTCCTGGTTCAGAGACCTGAGTCTCATGTCCCCAGGGGACCCACACTCCCCCGCCTCCCATTTCTTATCACTCAGGGCACCCGCATTGTCCCATCAACCTCCATGTGCTTTCAGCACACCCTGCCCCCACTCCACCTTATCAAATGCCCCTCCCCTCCTCACCAGGGCACTGAAGTGTTCCCTATGCTGGGCTCTGTGCTGAGAGACCCCAAGTTCTTTTCCCACCCCCGAGACTTCCACCCCCAGCACTTCCTGGATGAGAAGGGCCAGTTTAAGAAGAGTGATGCTTTTGTGCCCTTCTCCATCGGTAAGAGACCCCGGTCTGCTTGCTGCTAAGCCACTGCTCCCACCAACCGGGCCTCCTTCATCCCACATCCTGTCTCTAAGCTGTAGCCTGGGGTCTGTGTCCAGCTTGAAAGTCCCTCTAAGATCTACTCTAGAGCCAACCAGCTGCAAACCCCATGACTACCAAGTACCTGTGTCCAGGCAACTGGAAAGGGATGATTGTATCCATTTCACAGATGGGGAAAATCAAAGTCCTTAGTGGTCAGGTATTTGTCCAAAGTCATTTAGATTCTTGAGATTCCTTGGGAGGAGATGAGAGCCCGGCAGTCATATCTGAGTGTGTGCTTGGAAGGAAGGGGCACCTAAATTTCCCATTGCTACAGCTTGGGATAGCTCACCCCTATCCCATGTACAAGAGAAACTGATGCTCAGAGAGGGTTAGAGATGTCTCTGAAAGTTTCTCAGTCCCTGCTCTCTGGGAGAATGCAGTTGGGGGTGGGTAGTGGAGAAGGGAGCAGTGAGAGTAGGCCTCACCTCCAGCCCTCCCATTCTGTCTCTTCAGGAAAGCGGTACTGTTTTGGAGAAGGTCTGGCTAGAATGGAGCTCTTTCTCTTCCTCACCACCATCTTGCAGAACTTCTGCCTCAAGTCCCCTCAGCTGCCCCAAGACATTGACGTGTCCCCCAAACTTGTGGGCTTTGCCACTATCCCACGAAATTACACCATGAGCTTCCAGCCCCGCTGAGCAAGGGCCATGCGGGGTGGGGGAGGGGAAGGATGGGGGTGGAGCAAAGCAGTGGGCGGGGCAGGGGCGGGGCTATCAGGAGGGAGGTGACTTAGGGAAATCTGAGGGGGCAAGATGGATAGAAGACGAAAGGAATGGGCCCTGTCTGTTCCCCTTGGTAGAAATAACTCCTTCAGAAGTGGGATGAAGGAAGGGAACATATTTATTGAGTAAATATTCTGCGTCAGCTCCATGCTAAAAGCCTTAGCACGTCCACCCCACCTAATGCCCACAGTCTATGCAACAGAAAACAGTGTTCATGCCCATTTTACAAGTGACAAATCTTAATTGATTCCCAAGGAATCTATAACAACGACAAAAACCTTCCCAGTAAATGAATTTTTCACTGTCACTAAACATACTAAAATCTTTTGTTATTGTTGTTCTTTTCTTTTTAAAAAAATTTTTTAATGTTTATTTATATTTGAGAGAGACAGAGCGCAAGCAGCAGAGGGGCATAGAGAGAGAGATAGAATCTGAAGCAGGCTCCAGGCTCCGAGCTTTCAGCAAAGAGCCAGACTTGGGGCTCAAACTCACAAACCACAAGATCATGACCTGAGTGGAGGTCGGATACTTAACCAACTGAGCCACCCAGGCGCCCCTGTTGTTGTTTTCTAGCAACGAATCCTAGCAATGAATCCTAGGAAACCAAAATTAAAAACACTATACCACTTACAGTCACTCAAAAAAATGAAATACTTATGTACAAATCTAACAACACATGCGCAGAACTTATATGCTGGAAGCTACAAACTACTGAAGAAAGAAATCAAATCACTTTTAAATAGAGAGACAATCTAAATCTCCATAGACAGATGAGTGGATAAAGAAAATATGGTAAATACATACAACGGAATATTACTCAGCCATAAAAGGGAAGGAGTCATCAGTAGCAGTCTTCAGAATGATTCCCAATGGCCCCCACTTTCTGGTATTTATGACCTTGTGTGGTTGTTCCTCCCTGTATTGTATCCAGGTTGATCTATAGAATAGTCAGAAGATCTGGGTTGTCACTTTTGAGATTAGAATAGTACAGGGGGATCATTAGTTTAAAAAAAAATCAGTAGTCACTCAAAAGACGGGGGTATGGTATTTTACAACTCCTGCATGATGTTGAGAGAAATGGTGCTTTCTGCTAAATTTGCGACCAGCTTTCCCTGTGTCTATCACTCCAGCCTGACTAATGACCAGGCTGGATTTCTTATTGAGGCCAAGCTGATTTCATCTTCCCTGCTAGGTTTTCACTTTTTCAAATGAGACTGGGGTATGGGGATGGGTTTGGTATATCGGCATTGAAGCTGAATTTTGGTTTGGTCTCCGGTTGGGCTGTTACATGATGTGTTGGATTTGGTGATTGGATTTATAGAATTTAGATGGAGAATAAGTATTGGAGAACGGCCAAATTTGGCAGTATTTGGGATAAAAGATGGAGCTGGAAGTTGGGAGAAAATCATGCATTCATTTTGACCAATAGAATTGGGATGGGATTGTTTACAGAAATTTATTTGTTTTAAATGTTTATTTTTGTGAGAAAGAGACAGAGAGACAGAGACAGAGCGTGAGTGGGGGAGGGGCTGAGAGAGAGGGAGACAAAATCCAAAGCAGTCTCCAGGCTCTGAGCTGTCAGCACAGAGCCCTACGCGGGACTTGAACTCACGAACTATGAGATCATGACCTGAGCCAAATTTAGACACTTAACCAACTGAAGTACCCAGGCACCCCCAGAATTTTTTTTTTTACTTTATTTATTTATTTTGAGAGAGAAAGAGAGAAGCAAGGAGGTGCAGAGAGAGAGAGGGAGAGAAAATACAAGCAGGCTCTGCACTGTAGTGCAGAGCCCAGGGCAGGGGTCTAACTGACGAACCGTGAGAGCATGACCTGAGCTGAAATCAAGAGTTGGCAGCTTAACTGAATGAGCCACCCAGGTCCCCCTGATTACAGAAATGTGTAAAGGGAGTTGAGTTGAGGTTTAGGTATATCGTCAGAACTGGCTCTGGCTAATCTGACCTGTCAGTTGAGACGAAAGTTGGTAATGAGGATGATGTTAAAATAAAGGTTGGGATGAGAATGATTTGAGCTTAAAAATGGAAAGGGGAATTGGAACAAAGTACAATTTAAGATAGTTGCTGTATTTGGGGAAGGTGAAGTTTGGACAACTTTATGCCAAGTCATTGACTCTGCAGCTTCCGTGTCGTCGGATGTCACTAGCAAGATCAATGACCCTGGGGGACACCAACATGGGAGAACCATCTCCCTCTTTCATGTTTCAATAATGAGGAAAGTGTTTTCTGGGATGGAAGAGAGGGGGAACAGGCTTACCATTTTCCCTGTTGAAGTTGGAAAACAAGAGGAAGTCATTCGGGTCAATGAATTCCTTATCATGGTCCACAAGGGCCTCCTTCACAGCTTGGTACCCCCTAAGGACCACCAGTGACCTGGATCCTGGATACAAGGTGTTTATGGGGCCATACTCCTTACTCAGCTACAGGCAGCAAGACCGAGCTTACATTGGCTCTTTTATTCTTCCTTCCTAAGTTGAGGGGCCCTGCAACTCTCTGAGTGACATCAGAGACATCAGCATGTCTTGGAAGCGGTTTTTCCAGGAGTGGGAGGGGTCTGGGCCCTGGGGGAAGTTAGTCCTTGCACCGTACGCTGAGGGTCAGGAATAGACAGATAAGAGCCAGGGGCAGAAGTAAGATGGCTGTACTCAAAATGTCTATGGTGAAGGCATGTTGCAGACAGTCACTGAAAGGAAA